ATGTACATTTCTCTGCTTTCAGAGATCACATGAACGCTTTTAAACCAGATGAGGAATAACAGATGTCTTCACTGTTCATTTCAGGAAGCATTTGATGTTCATAATCAACATTTGAAATATGTTCAAAGCTGCCATCTTGTGGTCATATTCTATTCAATTTTTAGCAGATATATTGATACAAGTCTGGCTAAATCTGAAACTGGAAGGAAAGAACATTGCAGAAATACATTTTAGGACCTGTCAGAAGCCTGTGTTTTGAAGCCTACATAAAAGTAATGCAAGAATGTATTTCCATGTATAATTTACTTAATCTAATTGATTAAGTATTGGTCTTGCGCATTTTGCTCACAGTTTGTTTGAAAGCCATGACAGATTTTATTTATTGTCCTTTCTTTCCCTCTTCCAAGATTAAACATCCAAAGATTCCTATTTTACAGGAGAAAAAATGAAGAATAAACTTCTGCTTGATGACCTAAATTTTGAAATCAATCATCTTTTACTGAGATTTTCAGAAGAGTTACCCTTTTCTTTAAAATTTCCTTTCAAAAAGCCAAGGTTCATGAACTACAGAGGTCCTCTGACCCAGTTCTCTCCACACACAGATCACACTTCCAGGCACAATAATTTCAGCTCTTAAAGTTGATTCTTCTAATTTTGCCTCTGTATTTCTAAATCGTATATTTAAGCTTTTATTTCTTATCTTAAGAAATTAGAGGTAGCATTCTTGAACATTCAGTTCTGGACAGTGAGGACTTGGCTTTATCGTACCCTTTCTAGTTAACTTTTCCAGCAATTTACTCATCCTCTAGGGTTCAACTTGATTTTCACTTTTTCAGCTACTCTTCTCTAGTCACCTATCTAAATTAGATACTTTGCATCATATTTAAGGGGATCACACTGTGTTTCTTTCATACTGCTATAATTATTAAGTATCTTGATTGCTTGTTTATTTGCTGTGGCAATCTCCAAGTTGCCACAATCCCAAATTCATTCTCTTCTATTCCTTACTATTGGATTTTTATTCTATTCAGGATAGTAACCAACTAACAAAAAGAAAAATCCCTTCAGTTTTTTATATTCCTTTGCCATGTGATAAACTTCTAATGAGATACAGGCAGAATTCTTGGGAGGATATTTATTTCTGAATAAAAGGAAAATTTCTGCGTGGCATAGATATAAATCTGGAGATGCAGCAGCCATTTTTACAGCCCTGGCAGTGTGAATAAAAAGGGTAAAAACCACACACTTTAGTGGTGGTGGAGACAAGGTAGAAAGAGACTGAGTCCTTGAAGGCATCAGTGCACTGCCTCACCTTCCTTGGACACTTTCCTTTTCAAACTTTCTGGCTTGTGAGAAAATAATAAATCTCCAATAGAGTGCATTGGTTTTGTCATTCATTTTCATTTGATCCGAAGCTCTGTAAAGCCAGGAGCACTGTGAAACTTGTTTATCCTTGTAGCATTGTATCAGGTCTTCTTAACCTCAGCCTTATTGACATTTGGGTTGGATGATTTTTTATGCGGGGTAGGGGTGGACTGTTTAGTGCATTGTAAGATCTTTAGTAGAATCCCTGGCCTGTACCTGCTAGATGCCAGTAGCAGCTCCACCTTCAAAATTCTCCTGGGGTAAAATTGTCCTCCAGTTGAGAACCACTGCGTTAGATGATAGGGTTCAGCGCTCAAGATACGGTCATCAATAGATATTGACTATATTAACAAAAATTAGTTGGAAGTGAGGATTGAAAGAGATGGTAGAAGTCAAAGGTGACTTCCAGGTTTCTCTCTTGGTCTAGTAATGGTATCATTGTATCACTTGAAAGATGAAGAGCACATTCTAATTTATCAACATTCCCCTTAAATGGTGGCCTTAAAGTTGAGTGAATATTTCACATGTGACTTGAACACTGCAGATTTCTGTTTCTGTATTAATGAAACACAATATATTAGCATTTGCATAGTGTATCCCCCCTTTATCAACTGCATAGCATTTCCCCCCATTATTGGTCTCATTGCACTATTGGCTTATATTGAACTTGAAATCTACTGAAATCTCCTGGTTATTTTGTAAAGAATCCTGCTAATTCCTGTTTTCCTCTACCCTTTAATTTTGCAGTTGTAATTTGGAAGGGCCAGTTTTTGCCTTTTTCCTTTTAAACTTCATCTCTTTCATATCAGGCTCTTAAAATTTTTTTTTAAATTTTGGGGTATGGGTTTTTTTCCTATTTCATATTCGTTTGCTCTATCCAATTTGATATTCCATTGTTTGGTTGCTTGATAAAAAATTGGACTCAGAAATGGCAAAGGACAACATATTTGACATTATTGGATACTCATGGAGTTCAGAACATATGTCTCATAACCAAACCTTAGAACAGCTATTTTGATAACCCAGATCTTCTTTTCCTGCATTCAGTGTTAAAGATTACATGGAACTGTAAATGAGCACTATCTCTGAAATCTGCTTCTAGGAATGAGGACAGAGTATAACTTCAGAGGGACACAAAAGTAATAGCTTTTAATACTTGATTGCACAGGACGGTGCAGTCAGACATTTTTACTCACTGTTTAGATTATTAAGCTTAGCTCAGTTTTAGGCATTGCCATGCAGTGGGTGCTTATGCAATAGGAAAGAATGGATTTAAGTGGTACGGAATATGCTTTCCAATTAGTACTTAATAACTTCACTTACAGTGTTTTAAAAGAGAACTGGAGGGCTGAGCACAGTGGGAAATATCCAAGATTGCACATGAGTATTATTTGCAATGAATAATTTAGCAAATTATGGGCAAAAAGTAATGGGCACCTGATCAAGATCTTACAGAACTGTAAAATAAACAGAAAGAAGGCCTTGAATGAAAGAAAAATAAAGCAGCACACTTAGGGAGAAATTATCAAAACTGTATTTATAAGATAATGGGTGTAGCTCTCTCTTTGGTTAGGATTTCTTAGAATTAATGTTTATGTTTGAGACAGGTCCTCCTCTCAGGAGCCATTCAATATTAAGTAGTCTTTTAGCCTCTACTCTAACAATTAATCAACATTATTTACAGATACCACCACCACCATTTTCTTTATAAAACACACTTTAATTGTGACTCGCCCTTATTCCCTCTTATCTATAAAATAAATTCTAAATTTCTTAGAATTGCATATAAGGCACACATTTTATTCCTAATTTATCTTTCTACTCTCCTCCATGAAAACTGTGCTCTAAACACACTGACCTAGTTTATATTTTTCAGTGATCTATGCTCTTTTATACTTCTGTGACTTTGCTGATGCTGTAACTCTTACTTGGAATATCCTTCTCTAATCTTGTATTTGGTAAATCCATTGGCATTCATTGAGGTCCAAGTCAAATGTGACCTTCTCAATTTTATGTTTATGACTTTCCTTTCCCCAAATCAACATGACCTTGAACTATATTTGAAACCTAGTCTGTGCTTAATGAATGTTTATGAAATGGGTAATTAGCAAATTACTACAAATCACTCCAAAAATATAAAATGGGGGACTTAGTTTCATTGATGTTTATATAAAAAAATCTTAACATTATACAATAATTTATCTGAAAAACTATGAGTATGTAAATCAAAATGTATTCCAAGAAGATAAATTTAGTAATGCTATTTGAAAGTTAAAAATATGCTATTCCTTTATGCATCCTATTTTATTAACATATTTTGTCTATGTTGTATGCATAACTTTTGATTGCTTACTGTAGGGAAAATGAGTAACCAATCAGGTATACGTAACTTTAACCTTACTTTGCTTATTGAATTGGGAATATCAGGCTAGGCATTTTCTATAGTGTATTACTATTATTATTATTATTTTACCAATTTTAATTAACATATTTGTTCATTGTGACCAGCCTATAGAGTTCTTCATTGGGAATATTGTTTCAGTAGCAGAAGGTCAAAGAGAAAAAATATTTTATGATGGAAGATAGAAAGAAAAAGAATGACGTTCTTGCAGAATTGCATAAAAAAGAGGACCAGTGAAATAATATTTTAATATTTTATTTGAAAAGACATAAAAGTCTGGTAAGTGATAAGAGAATGCTATTTGAATCAGACACAGTTAACTGAATGCCATTGGTAGAGCACTGTGATGCACGTTCTTCACTTGTATGCCTTCCTGTGGCTCTCTGAGATGATAGAAGAGGGACTGAGCGGTGAAATGTATGGATGGGTAGTTTCTTTTTCAGCACATTAAGAGGTAGGAGAACACAGAGGCAGACAGGCAGTATCAGTTATCTCTTAAACAAAGTGAAGCTTTTCTTTCTCTAAAGTGTGACAAAGATTGTGATTTTGTTGTGATCTTGAACCTTAGACTAAATAATATATGCTAATGCCCGAAGAGGAAGACCAGTTTGAAGAAGTTAATTGGGATCCCATTTATAATTCCATACAAATTATTATTTTTAATTATGCTTTTATTGATTTTAGAGAGAGAGGAAGGAAGAGTGAGAGACAGAGAAACATCGATGTGAGAGAGAAACATCGCTTGGTTGCCTCCCACATGCATCTTGACTGTGACTGAACACGCAACCTGGGCATGTGCCACGACTGGGAATCTAACCGGCGAACTTTTGGTGCATGGGACAATGCTCAACTAACTGAGCCACACCAGCCAGGGCCCACATAAATTATTTTAACTAATAAATGTGACTTTCTTTATATCTGTTGGTCAATGTCAATGAATGGAAATGTATTTACATTTTAACATTGTAGAAATGTCTACTCGTGTATTTTAATCAAGGATTTTCTATCAATCATGATTTTTCTTTACACATAAACAAAACAAAAGCAGCTTATTTACATTGTCATATAGTTGACCTTTAAAACATGCCAAAAATCTTGACACTTTCTGCTTAAATACCATGGAGTTGGTGCAGCCTACCATTTAAAATAAAGCTGGAAAATAGAGCCTACTTAAAAGGTGCTGACTCTTCTCTGCTCTGGAAAGTAACATCTAAAATAACAGAGTGAAAGAAAATACAGTTAGTAACTTAATCTATTATTTTTCAACCATGGGTTTTGTAATACGTATAAGAGAATATGCCTTTTATAGTTAGACCACAGATTGATTCGGATTCGGGAGTTTTTCATATTCTTCGGCATAGTGTCGATACTGGTCAGTGAGGAGAGGCTGATTGGCTTCATCCATATTGTTTCTGGCTCGAATCAGACAAGAAGCACCCACAAAAATGACTGCAACCAGTAATAAAGCTGCAATCACTGCTATGGTAATAATCTCAGAAATACGAAAACTCCGACCTATATGAAAAATAAAACCAGAGCAAAAAATAAATCTTATAATAGTTGCCATCAAAAATTGGATACCCTAAAATTAGGCACGTTACAGAAAACCTCATACTGAATTTTTATTGGCCACATTGCCTATCATAGAGCTGGTCATCTTGACGGTACTTCCTAATTTGTCATAATGAGTAGACTCTATTGGGATAGTTATTATTTTCATTCTAAATGTGAAGAAATGATGGCTCAGAGTCTAATCCACTTGCCCAAGGTCATTTGGTTAGTAGGTAGTAGAATTGGTTTTGGAGCCCAGGTCTTTCAGAATCTAAATCCTGTGTTCTTCCACTCACTATACCCTACTGCCTTTCTTGAGAAAGAAATTTAAAATTAGACAAGAAAGTTTTGAATTTCAAAATCTCAGAAAAAACAGCTCAGAGTATCTCATGCCATTTTTAATTAATTTTTTTTTAGGATAGGTAAACAGAGGCACATTATATTGTAAAAAAATTAGGGACCTAACCTCGAAACTAATTTTTTCTACTTAATAAAAATGTGATCTTTGACAGCTACCTTCCCTAAGCCTTGTCTTCCTTATTTGTAAAATCAGGATTATAATTCTTATCACAGAGGGATGTAAGGATTAAGTGAGATAATGTGCTGTATAATCAGCTCAATACCAGGTCAGAGTGGGCTGGCAACGGATGTTAAATTCACTCTCTTTATCCCTAAATAAAAATCTGAATCAAAGTTTCTAAGTGCAAGTGGAAAAGGTAAGCCTCAGAAATACTGTGATTACTTTAGTTTAAAGGTAACAAATGTGCTTTTGGAAATTTCCACAGTGAAAATATGTTTTCAATACTCACTTGGCCATTGAACTTCATAAGTATATCCCAGGTTGTCTGGAGCAGTAACAAACATTTCTGTATTGGTAACTGGAGGCCAGAATGGCACCATATTATATTGTCTATTATGTCCAATAGGGGCGTTTTCCAATGGAAATGTGGATATATCTAAAATATGCCAAAACACCTTGTTAATATTAATATATTGTTATGTTCTGAAGGTATCCTGAAATATTCAAGGATAACATTAAACACACTAAAGACATTCTTTCATATTTTACACTGAATAAAGACATAAGTTTTACTACAGCAGGACAGGGAATTGCATAAGAAAGATTTCAAATGCTTTGAGTACAGCACTAACATATTATCCAAGAGAAAAAGAAGGTTCAAAAGCAGGAATGTTTTAGTATTTTGAAATCTTTGATGATCATTAATTGTTTTATTTTTAAATAAACAAGCTAATTTGAATAAAATGCATTAAACTTATTTTTCAAAGCTAAAGAAAAGATGGACCTTTAGTTTGCTGTAGCATCATCTGTAATTTAAATCTGAGAGGTAATTTCTAATGGAGGTTTTTTCTTGACTGTGAATATTACTCTTTAGTATTTTTCAATTTGCCTGTTTACTTTTAGAGAAATAAATATTAACTTGTTCCTCAGGTTTTACTCTGTTAGCAAAAAACACTCAAAATATTGAGTCAAGATTCTGGAATCCTGTTTGCTTCCTGCTACCTCTCTTCTTTCTAGAGTAGTCTCTCCTGATCCATGGTTTTGCCATCCATGGTTTCAGTTACCCACAGTCAACTGTGGTTTAAAATATTAAATGGAAAATTCCAGAAATAAAAATTTATAAGTTTTCAATTGTGCTCAGGTCTGAGTAGCATGATGAAATCTTTTACTCTCCTGCTCTGTCCTGCCCACGAAGTGAATCCTCTCTTTGTCTAGCGTGTCCACTTGGTATATGCTACCTGTCACTGGTCACTTAGCAGCCTCTCAGTTGTCAGATCCACGTTGTGGTATTGCAGTAGTTGTGTTCAGGTAAACCGTATTTTACTTAGTAAATGCTCCCAAGGCATTCATATAACTTTTATTAAAGTATATTGTTATAATTGTTCTATATTACTTTTAGTGATTATTGTGAATCTTACTGTGTGTAATTTATAAGTTAAACTTTATCATAGGTATGTACCTATAGGAAAAAAATACAGTGCATGCAGTTATAGGGTGCAATACTATCCATGGTTTCAGGCATCTACTGGGGGTCTTGGAACATATACCCTGTAGATAAGGGGGGTATTCTATTTAAATACAACTCACAGGTATTTGTATCATTAGTCATTAGTGAGTTTTTGTCATTAGGGATAAAAGTACTGAAATAACCTTTGTGGCAGAAATTGTTCTTTGTTGTTGTTGTTTTATATGTTGGTACAGTTAAATAACAAGTGGAACGTTACAAAACCAGAGTTGGAAGTGGGCTTGGGCATTACAATAGTGGAAATATATTTAGAAGAGCTAATGAAGTATTAGATTTCGTTTGTAAGAAGTGTATTACCTGGCCAGTCAGTTTGTTCCCATGAAGCACAGGCGAATATTTTAGAATCTAGTTTGAAGATCATTTGATTATAGAAATGGCAGGTAGTGTTTATAGTTTTTGTCACTTTAAATTTACTATGTATTAATGCTAATTAAGTATTTATCTATTAACATCTGTTGAGCTCCTGATCTAGTCATGGGGCTATGGCATTGAAAAAAACAGACAAAATTCCTGTCCTCAAGGATCTCACATTTTGGTGTATTACTGTTCATTATTTATTGAAGTTAGATGTTAAAGTTAATAACTTGGTTTTTTAAACTTCCCATTTCACCTTTACTAAATCCTGACTTCATCCGCCTCAACCCAGTTTAGCATCAGCTGTGTGATGAAGTTATATCCGTTAAAATGAATGGAGGAATAATAGGAAAAATAACAAACAATAGCAATTGGATTATAATGAAACCTTTCTATGCAAGACCCTTGGATGGCTCCCCATCTCTCTTAGTGTTAAATGCAATGTGTTACCCTCTGACCTATTACCTCCCTCCATTCTCTCCCCTCTTCACACTGCTTCAGCCTTAGTGGGTTCCTTTGTTCCTTTGTCTTGGGAGGGCTTTCCATATATTCACAGAGTACTCCCTATCCTCTTTCCTGATTTTATTTGTCTGCAAAGCCTTTACATCACCTAACATGCTATTTATTTCTTTACATATATTTATTGTCATTTCTGCCAACATAGTGAAGTTCCAGGACAAAATATTTCTGTGTGTTTTGTATGCTACTGTGTTTCCAATATCTAGAATACTGGCTAGGAAATAGTAGGCACTCAACATTTTAAAAATAAATTTACTGAGGCATAACTATCAAATAAAATTCTATATATTTAACATGTATATCATGATGCTTTATGATTTGCCAACTGGCATATGAAAAGATGCTCAACACCACTAATTATTAGAAAATGCTGATCAGAACCACAATGAGTTATCACCTCAAAACTATTAGGAAGGCTATTATCAAAAAGATGAAAGATAATTGTTGGTGAGGGTACTGAGAAAAGGGAAGCATTGTACACTCTTGATGGGAATGTAAACTGGTACAGTCATTATGGAAAACACTATGGAGTTTCCTCAAAAAATTAAAAATAGAGCTGCCATATGACCCAGCAATTCCACTTCTAGATGTATAGCCAAAGGAAATAAAATCAGTATCTCAGAGAGACACTGCACCCCCATGCTCACTGAAGCACTATTCACAATAGCCAAGATAGGGAATAAAATATTTGTTAAAAAATTTATGCCAGGTGGAGGGGATCAAGGGGGAGGGAAAGGGGGTCATCTGTAATACTTTCAACAATGAAGATAAATTAAAAATATATAATATAATAAAAAAATAAAATCACAACTGCTTAAATTAAAAAAAAAATTAAGTGTGTGTACGTGATTACTTCATTTCTCTTGGGGTTTAATAAGTAAAGTAGTGATTGATCTGGGAAGTGAACAAACTTCTTCTGAAAAATGCACTGAACTTCCAGGCTACTATATTTAAAACTTAATTCACATGACTCTCAATTGAACAGAAATGGAACTGGATTAAATGTGTACATGGACACGTAATGCAGTGTTTATAAATTAACATTATGTTAAATAGAGTTTAGATACTCTATCCAAACTCTTTTGTCTAATCAGAGGATTCTGTAACATGCATTACAAGGCGAATGACTGTAATTTCCTCCGCCTGTAAAATGTAATTCTTATTCTATTCTGAGCCTAATGCTCCAATTCTATGATTTCTGAAGCATATTCTATGTCTGTAAAAACCTTTGGATACATTTTGAAAAATAATTCCATTTTTCACTCGTAGACTTATTTTCAAAAAAGACTTCGGCTATATGGGTGTTTTAAAAATTCCTCCGATCTTTTTTCTTTTCTTTCTAACATAGTAGTTCTATGACTTTTTTTTTTGAGTTTAGCTTCAGTGCAATTTGTGAGTGTTTACATTGCCTTGTCCTCTGAGGTTATGTCCACATTTTATTGGAAATATGCTGCAAGTCAGTTCTCTATTTTTAATATATGATACTTCTCCCTTCACATGTGATGGCAGCTTTGTACAAACCGAGGGAGCAAAAAGTAAAATAACTAAGAAACAGAGGTATTTTTTTTTTTGGTTCATCAATGACCCTTAGGTAGATCTGGATAACTTTTAACAAATTGAATTGTATGTGAAATATTATGTTTTTAATTAAGATATGTAAGGCAAAGGAATGCATGTTTTCAGAGTTGAGAGAAGGCTCCACGTAAGAGACTTGCCAGTTCATTCAGGATTCTCCATTTCTCCTGGAGGCTGGCCTCCATGGCATTGTGTATTGCTGCATAGCTGCAGCTTGTACATTGCTGTTTATATCCCAAAGTATATGTTTAACAAACTTTGTTTAGTTCATTCCTAAATGTATTCCGGTTTACTTGTTATTATTAGAATAAAAGTAATCTAGCTAAATATATGTAAAGTGATCATTATGAATGAAAAAGAGAGGGATGTTGTTTTTATAATAAATATATACTTTTGAAAAATTGTTAAAGATGAGTGGCTGAAATATTGCTAGAGAATTAGGAGTGGGCAATATGATCATAAATGGTTAGGGGAGCATTGTGAAAATCTAGAATAATACTACACTGAGACTGCATCTGAAGGGTTGTTAATTTCATGTTTTGCTTTAAGGAAACAAACACTATAACTTATAAATAATACATAATACTTTATGGTTATATGTATGTATGTAAATACACATGAAAAATGAGGTGGAATACCAGTCAGTGAATTCATAGCAGATTGACAAGTGAACAAATATGTATATGTAAGTTATTTGTTTATTAAATGATTTTCTGATGGAACAAACTATTTTGACCAACTCATCAATTAATGGTCTTAATCAGGTTGAATTAGGGCTTCTAGTGTACACACACAAATACACACACACACACAGGAAAATAAGAGACTGGCTAAATTGGATAGGTAAATGAATATTTAATCTCAAATAGTCTGTTTGTGATGTGCATGATGAAATAAAGGCACAGAAGCCAAAATTTAGAACATTTTTAAAATATAAAAATTTATGATGTTTTAACAAGAGGAAAATATTCTTTGTTTTTTAAAAGTAATGTGAAGAATTTTAAAAAGAAAAGCAATGCAAGCCTCTCAGCTGAGTAGAAGCAAATGATATTTTAAAAAATACATTAAAATGAACTTAAAAGAGATTTTTTTCCTATGGTGTGATATAAAAACCAACATTAACTTTTCAAGTTGAGCAAAATTTCCATTTGTGGCAGTTCATACAGTAATAAAATCGAAACTGCAGATTATGAGTATTATATTTTTTATCTTTTGAGGTATCAAAGAAGAGCTCTGTAAGGACTTCCCATTTATATTAAAAAGCAATGAGAACGTTCATTGGAAGATATGAGGATGAAAACTTTGGGAACCAGTAAAAATGAGAAGGGATTACCTGCTTAGTCCTATTGAATGCTAATAAATATCATCTTAAAATAACAATTCAGAGAGACTTCTTATCTGCATTTTCCAAGTGGTTGGAGTATTTGCAAATGGCTAGATATCACAGCTATTTCATCCGTATTTTGAAATGTAGCTTATGTGTGTCAGGTGCTTAGCCTGGAGTGATAACTATGCCATCCGAACAATCTTTTTCTGCTGAGCCTGCAAAGAGCATGTAAAAGTGTCTCACCAGCATTGTATCTCCTCAGCCATTCGTCAAAGATGGCATCGGTGTAAGTATGCAGGAGGATGAATACAGGGTCATTTGGAGACAGATGGGTTTGTCCCCCTGTTCCATTCAGGAACAGATGAGCCAAATTGTGAAGGCTTCGAACAGCAGGGTCATACCTTCCTGTGGGATCGCTGTAACCTAGATAGCAAAATAGAACCAGAACAGTAAAAATCACTACACATTTTACTTGTCCAGTCAACAGCAGTGATTATACTGAAGAACAATTTTTCCTAAGCTTGTCTGGACAATTTTTACCTTTATCCCATATCTGTATAATAGCATTGTTTCTCTCTACCTATGGTTAGCAACCGTGGTTTGCTATACCCAGAGCTAGGCTAGCTTTAAGCTTCTAGCATGGCATTCTATATGTAGCCCCTAGGTTAAAAATAATGACCTGCAAAGGACACTAGTCGAAATGTATAGAATGCTCTATTTCAACAAGGCAAACATTGTTCTACAGGAGAGTGGAAATCTCCAGCTTCTGCTAAAAAGTGCTGACGTGATTGGGAGACTAATCTGATTGTCCTGGAACTTAAATTGCCAGATGTTACTTTAGTTTCCTCTATTTTCCCTTTGAATGACTGTCAGCATATTTATTTTGGGAAAGTCATTTTTGTGGAGAAGTTACAATTTCTCAGAGCTTTCTTAACACCTCTGTACTAGTTTTAAACATCTGAAAAGTCTGCTGTCAAAACATTTAGAGAACTTTTGATAATGATCTTTATTCCATATACATATTTCCATATCATATATATTTCACCTATATATCCATATTATATGCAATATACATATATAGTTCCATATTTTATATAATATACATATATAGTTCATATTATATATTTATTTCCCATATATATTCCTATATTATATGTATCATGTATATTTATATATATTAGAGAGAAGATGAGAATAGATCACACACAAAAATAGAGTGCCTGTGATGTGGGATGGAGTTATATGTGTGTTTGCTTGGCTTGAAGGATCAGAGTTAGGAGAGCAGCGAAAGGTTATATACAGGGCATCTGCCCAAAATGTATACACACTGCCCGGCTGGGCGTGGCTCAGCAGTTGAATGTTGACCTAGGATCCAGGAAATGGTGGTTTGATTCCTGGTCCGGGCACAGGCCTGGATTTCGGGCGGGCTCGATCCTGGGTCGGGGGTGTGCAGGAGGCGGCCGATCAATGACGACTCTCTCATCATTGCTGTTTCTATCTCTCTCTCTCCCCCTCTCTCTGAAATCAATAAAGACATATTTTAAAAAAATGTATACACACTTTGAATGATTATAAATTCAGTGTTAATATACAGTTCATTNCTTCTCTCTCTCTCTCTCCCCCTCTCTCTGAAATCAATAAAGACATATTTTAAAAAAATGTATACACACTTTGAATGATTATAAATTCAGTGTTAATATACAGTTCATTTTCAAAATTGAGTTATCAGCTCTTAAAGTGTGTATATATGTTTTTGGGGGGCACCCTATATTATAAAACAAAATTAGAATTTCAGATACATTGACTTACTTGTGTAATTACATGCATTTATTTATTCACTTTCATACATCTGTTCCATTATTGCCTTATTTTAAAAAGTTTGAAGATTGCCTGTACTGTATATGGCATGTGGCTAGGTGCTAGTCTTTTTATGCATTCTGTCAAGAAATCAGTGTATTTTGTATTCAATTTGGCATCAATAAGATGTAATCTGCACATTGTTTTAGAAATCGGTACTTATAACCTTGGTTTATATGTACAAGTTTAGTCAAAATATAGTGATTATTTATCAAATTATCTCAAAATTACTGATTCGTATATAGCTATTAAAATTAGCATAAAGAGAACAGAATGGAATATAATTTTAATAATAAAAGGGAAGAGAATTGAAAATAATGATCAGATTTATACATCAAATATCTTAAATTATGGGGACAGAGATCAATTCCCATTTGTGTGTGTGTGGGGGGGTCTAACAAGTGCGATGCTATATTTAAAGTAAAATTTGACAATTTACAAGTTTATGATAAAGTTAAAAGTTTTTCTGTTCTTTTAAAACTTTAAATACAGAGTTTGGCAAAAGTAGGTCTATAGTTTTTCACATGGAACATAATACAATAAAGAATAATATAAAAATAAACTCTGTTTCACCTACTCACAACTGTAAACCTACTTTTGCTCCACCCTGTGTGTATCTAGCATGATTTAGAGATTTCAAAATTTATTGTATAAAGGAACATTTGGATTTGAATCTGTGCTGTTACTAACTAGCTGAATATGTTGGGAAATTAATTTCACTTATTTGGACTTCAGTTTGCTCAGCTTTAAAATACTTTGAATTAAATAAGGAAAACAAAACTAAATACCACTAGATGCTAGAATGAATTCTTATAGACCTTAAAGAGAGTTACAGGATAACATAGACCTAAATAAACATGTGCCCAAACCGGGCTTTATTGAATGTCAATGAATTGCTCAGAGTTTTTAATTAAGAAAAAAATTTAATGAGCTTTGAAAGTGTTCAGTATTATTTGCCTATACTAGAATTTGATATAGTTATTCACATATTGGCCAGTCACCTACCAGAAATTTGAGTTTAAATACTTTTAAAGTATTTAGGAGATTGGTGAATAATTTCCAAGAGCTTCTCTTATGATTGAGAGAGTTTCATGGGCCCTGGCCAGGTGGCTCAGTTGGTTGGAGCATTGTCTTGTACACCAAAGGCTGTAGGTTTGAATACTGGTCAGGGCAAACAAATGCTTTTCTGAGCAGAGAATTGTGACTGCTCATAATAGGCAGCACAGTTCAGGTAAACTCACTGGGTCCATATGGCATTTAAAGATTTTTCAGAGAGACCTGAGTTTGAGTACCTCAGTTTACTGTGGCAACTGAACAAGTCAATGCACCAATTTAGTTTACTTGCCTTCCACTGTGTTTCGGAAACTGTTTGTAGAATTGGAATAAAAAGGAGGTGTGTCAAATAAACCGACTTCCAAGCACTGAGTGATATCCTGTGGCTTAGGAAGACGTTGCACCATTGGTCTAGCCACATTTCCTGCTGGATTCCTCCTAATTGGCCCGCCTTCAGTGCCTGGGGGAAGACAGGGCATGCAAACATGTATAGAATGTTTAGAGATCTTATCATTGCTCTTTAAAATGTTATATATAACATGGACACCGAATAATAGGTTCTTCTTGGTAGAAGAGAAAATTTAAAAAAAATGCTTTTTAGTGGCATTAAAGTGAGAAAAATCTAAGTTATTATGTTAACTTCTCTGAGAAGAGTAAATAAGTGATACATAAAATCATCTGAAAGAAGAATTGATCACAATAACAGAGAGAGATCCTCATATTTGTTAAATCAATATATGCTTGTTTCATGAGAAGGTATTAAAATGAACATTCCATGGAAAGTTGAATTTTGCCAAAATCTCATAAACCTAAATTCCATACTGAAATATGTATTTTGTTTATATATGGAGTTTTGTACTTGAATGCTCTCTGTTTCAAGCCATCAGAGAATTAAAGAAAAAACAATCTTCAATTTCAGTCAACACGTTTTTCAGTGAGTTATGTCAGAAATAAAGTTTTTGAAGGGCAGTAAGACTAACAGGTGAACAGAACTGTGATACTAGGGATCATATTATAGATGCCTCTTAAGGGAGGGAGGGAGATGTCTTTCCCAGTTGGGTGGATCCAGAAAGGGCCCTGAAGGACTGAAAATTTCCATATGTGAAATAGGAGATCTTTTAGGCAGAGATAATAACGAGATGATAAGGTTTCTTCTATGTTTCTTCCATTAGAGCAAGAACTGTCTGTTCTTGCTCTCCAGTATATCTCCCGTTTTGATGCAGTACCTGGCATATAATAATTGCTAAATAATTTTTGGTACCTGTTGCTATATGGGATAGATCATGTTGGCTGTAAAAGAGGGCCTTTTTGGGGATAGCTTGCCTGGGGTATGTGGCAATGTAAGAAAGCATTGGATGGTGGGAAGTATGGGAAGCTAGACCAGAACCATAATGTGAAGAAATTGAAAAGCAAGATGAGAAAGTTATATTTAATTCAGGAAGTGGGGAGAAGCCTTAGGTAGGTGGGAAGAGAGGAGTTTGGTTAGGAGCATTTTGCATTAGTCTCAGTGGTCTCCAAAGAGGAGTGTTTGTGCCTTAGAGGGGACACACAGAATAATTCACTGGGTGAGAGAGATAATATTTCAACATATACTCATTTTCACTTTACCTCATTCATAAAATCCTATTTGTATGCTTTATAATTAACATAATGATTAGTACCTGGTGAATTAGCATAACTAACTTTGTATAATATAAAAATAAAACACATGCTATAGTGAGACTGGAAAGTGCATGTGCATTTTTTAGGTATACATTATCATTAAAACGTTCAGATTGTCCTAGCTAAACATCAATTCAAGCCGATAATTTGGAGTTTACTGTTCAGAGAGCTAGTGATACATCCTAAGAAAAAAGTATTAACAACATGGGTTTCAAAAATATTATATCTGAATTTGCCCTCATGGAGTTTCATAGTGCAGAATTTTAATAATAAAGAAACTAGTTAAACCAATTTAATTTTAACCTAGTGATTTTAAAATTTGTTTGTACATGGACAACTTTTACCATTGCACCTATTTTTTATTTTAAAATTAAAAAATTAATTAGAGTTGACAATATTACACTACTTTCAGGTGTACAGCGAAGTGGTTAGACATTTATATAACTTACTAGGTGATGTCCCATTAAGTCTAGTACCACCTGGCCCCATACATAATTACAAAATTAATGACTATATTTCCTATACTGTACTTTACATCCCCTTTCCATCACAACGATTAACATCCTATGGATTGGAGTCTTGTAGAATTTCCATGCAAGAATGAATGAAAAGTTCTGAGTTCTGAAGAAGAAAATAGATTTGAGAAGTATTGTGAAGAAAGAACCATGTTTTTCATCTGATAAATCAAAGACTGTACTTTAGTGGCTGGAAGAATGTTAGGGGTCAGTAATTCACTCTTTTAATTTACATGCCAAGTTTGGGGCATTAATGGAATGTTGCAGAGATACTATGCACCAAGCATATGAAAACAGGTGTGGAAAGTCTAAGGACTACTCGATGTGAAGATGTACATGTATGGGTGTCCTGTAAGAGATGAGGGAAACCACAGGAATGGAAATTTCATTCAGAAAAAAAGTAGAAGGAGAAAAGAATTACTGCAAGGAATAAATAAGATGCAGTATCATATTAAAGCATTTGACACCATACCAGATACAACATGTTTAATAAAATGTTAGTGTCCCACCCCCCACTGGCTTAATAAATAAAATGTTTAGTATTTATATCTTGAACTAAGGCGACAGGTAATCTTAAAATTTGTTTCAATCTTAAAATTCAGTTTTTCATGAAACTGTGTTAGAGTTGTGTTATATTAAAGGGCAAGAAAAACTGTGGTAAAAAATCTCCCCCTATGCTATAATTTGATTTACTCATTTAAGTAGTGCTCTATTTTGTTATTCAGTCAACAGGGTGATCAGAAAATGTCTAATGTTAAACTTTTATGGAAGAAAATTTCATACATATCACTTCTCTTATTCCCAAACACAGCTAAATAATCTAATGGTGAAAACCCATCTAATTCCTGTGTTCCGTTTTAGAATAGTCTCTCTTTAAGTTTAGAAAATAATTTAATAATTGATGCTTTATAGAATATATGCAGAATAAATGTTATGAATATAATAATAGAATACATTCTCATAATTCTAGTTTTTACATGGAAGAACAAAATTTCAAAATAGCCAGACATGCCTAAAGAGGAAAAGCAAGATGGGACAGGGAGACTCGAATAGCTAAGAAGTTGTGTTAGCACAGGGACAGATAAGATAATCCAGGGAAGAGCATAGGAAGCTCAGGGGCAGATCTACATATACCAGAAACGACCTATGGCAGAGGTGGCATTTAGACCCCTGGAAGAAGGGTGCTAGCACACCTGTCTAAGCAGTCTCTACATCATCTTTTGATTTTTAACTCTCTGACCAGATTAACATCATAATAACATAATAATATAATTATTATAAATATATTATTATTACTTTACTCCTTGGGCACTTCCAAATCTTTCTGCATACTTCAGATTTTCTAGGGACACATTTTCTGTGAAATTCCAACACAAGATACATGATCACTAAGCAGTGCTGAGTGTACAGATAGGATTAATTTATACAATAAGACCTTTCCAAAATAAGAATGTGAGCATCCACTTACCACATTGCTCAAGAAAAGCAATGTAAAAATATACAGGCACTCTGTTTCCCTTGGCACACCTTATAGATGGCTTTGAATATCTTAGTTGTTTCATGAATATGTATACATTGATTCTCTGTAATAAAGGTAGATTTTAGTCTGAAGTCCTTAGTAGAATGAAGGGCCTTCAGACGGCATATTTATTCTCTTTACTAGGAAATTCTGAATCCCAGAGGTCATTTGGAACTTACTGTTACAAAGGGTTCCTAGGGTGTCATAATCTTCCAAGGATTCGCAGACCACTCGCCATTGGGAAAAGACAGAGTTCGGGCTTATAAGATTGGGATCAAAGTTGCTTCTTGATCCCATCAAGTCATCAGTGCAGATATCACAAACATTCTTCCCAGTCGCAAAATTCCAGTAAGGAAGGGAGAACGAGGGATTCTGTAGCATCTCCTAGATCACAGAAACTCTGTTAGCATTCCTGCTTTTGTTTAAAACTCCCTCTTTGCCTGGTTTACTCCCTGGCAGTCCATTTCTGTTAGTTCTTTTCAGCTACTTAAGAACCAGTAAGTGTGTCAGTGGTGTCTGAGGGGCTGGAGGACTTAACTACCTTATTAACAAAGCTTCTAACTTACTACAAGGAGTCACTTTAGGCACCAGAGGCATTTAAACTCAACTCATTATACAGAAGTTCCTGCAAATGAGTTTTTATTAGGGGGCAGGGGAAAGGTCTTCCTTTTCTTTTTTAGACAGGTAATTATATTTCTATTGATTATACCAAACATTATCAATAACTTCTACTCCTTCACATTTCCACCTCCTTCCATTTTCCTGTCTCTAATTCAAGCACTGCTAACTCTTGGTCTGGAGCCAGGTTCAGCCTTGAAACATGCTACGTGGAGCAGTATCTTTTGTTTTATTTCTGTTGTTTAGTTTAACTTGAATGACTTGAGGCATTTAGATTCTGCTTTGGCCACAGGCTACATAGGCTCTTTCACACTTACTTTATCTGCTGGGCACTCAGGATGCTTTACTTAGAGACCTCTGCTTCAGAGTCTAAATTATGAAGACAACCTCCTGCCTGAAACTCATACCTATAGGAAATGCTGAAGGGAAGCAGAATATTTCTTTGTGCATACTGCTCTTTAGAACAGAGACCTAGTTTCCATTTAGAGCGGATCTCAACAAGTTTTAAAATGCTGGACTCAAGATCACATGAGTATTTTTATTGGGTTCCTTGAAACATATTTATGGTACTTGTTTTTTCTCATTCCTTTTGGTCTTTGGGGAGTTATATTTAGTCTCGGATTTAAGTGCAAGAATTGCCATTGTTTTATTCCACCTTGTGTGCATTTGGCACATTACTGCTTTTTCACTCCAAACCCTTTCTAGGAAGCATTCTCTTGTCTTTGGGGTGTTACAGAGGCCAAGAGCTTTCCAAGGCATCTCCAGTTATTGACCTCCAGGGATTTGCAGTCCTCATTTAGAAGCCATTGTTCTGGTTCACAAATATTAGTGACAGCTTCCGAGGGATTATTAAAAGTCAGTTCGTGGTTCAGCAACTGACATTTGGGAGCCAGAGCATATTCATGTGGCATTTCAACTGTGCGTTATATATAGACTGTAATTTGTTGGATCCCTTGTGCTATTGGGTTTTAAAAATGTAGGTAGTCCTAGAGGTTGAAGTTTACACAGGCAAAATCTGCCCTTTCATTTTGGTGTGCTCATGGGAAAATGACTTGAAGGCATGAAGATCTGGAGTCGATTACACATGACAGATTTATCTACACATAATCTACTAAGTGTCTTACTTGTAATCAGAGCTATAACATATGAAGTGCAGAGTACCAAGTGAATTCATTTAATCATCCTCAAACTGCATATGAATAGACTACTTTCATACAAATATCTTATTCTGTACTTTAGTGCATTCATTTTCTCTCTTTTAACCATTTATTTTCTTGGAATAGAATAATGCTGGGTACAAACATACTACAAATTGATACATGAACACCTCTCCTGCCTTCAGATGTTTTTCGGTTAATTTTTAGATTTTAATTTGGGGGGAGGGATTCTTTGCTGTTATTTCACATGAAAAACTGGTTTAATTTGTGGGTGTCCTAGATCTAATAATTTAATTAAGATTTAATAATTTTAAAATTTCATTTTAAAATTACAATACTTTTCTTAAGAAATAGCAATTAGTAAAAGATACAACACAAAAGTTTCTTTGTTAACAGATAATGTTTTGAGCTTATCTGCTTAAAAATAAGCAGGAAATGACTGTGTTTGGGTTGAGCTTCACTTTATGCCCGTGCCTCTTAAGTAAAAATGGTATCTAACTGATGGGATGTTTTTAATAGATGTCTTCTGTAAGCCTCAAAGTAGTAAGGGGCATGGAAAAAAATGGTGTTCAATGGAAATATGACAATATAAGTGGAAAGGAACTGTTTACATCATTTAAACCCTGTACCAATTAGTATTGTCCACTGGTATGTTGAGTTATATATTTGGAACTTGGAAGACTGATGAGTTCATATACTCTTGCTTCATCCAAACCAGTACAGGGCATTGGTTTACACTGGGGAAGAGACGTATCAAATGAGATTCTTTCATTGCAAACTATAGAGTTGTTTTAATTACAGAGCTAAAGAACATAGTTTGCACCCACAAATGTCTCATCTGGCTTCCTCAGCATTGAAATTACCTTCTTTTCACTTCACAAAAGACCAAGCTTCATTAATAAATAAATAAAGAATTAGCACAGGGAGAAACTTAGAATGTCTAAGGCATTGCTTTGTTTTCCCATGTTTGGAACATAGCGAATTAGACGACTTACAAACAAGGCACTTTGTGGGTAAAGGGTCTGTAAATTGAAATGTTTCTTGCATACCTGCATGTCCTCCTCCAACTGCAGTAGGTGATACCTGTGCCAGGTGAGAAAAGCTGGTCCTTCATGGGAGAAATCCACTTCACCAAAGCTTTCCTGTCCTGTGCCAAGGAAAGTCTTTTTGACTGAATAATAGTGTGTCCAAACAAAGTAGTTATAAATTGAAATGTTCTCAAATTGTGGTGTGTTGCCATCTGGCCCCAGTATTTCTTCTGATCTTCTGGTGGCAATGACAAACAGAGGGTGAGTTGTACGCTTTGCCATATCCAGGGCCTGGACAAAGTAGTTCTTTTCTTCTGTACTTAAGTCCAGAATGTTTCTCCTGACTTTAGGGATACAAAATTCAAACATGAAAACCTCTGCCTTGTGGAGATGGGTAGAGAATGAGCATAATAATCTTGTGACACACCATGTTCCATTTACCCGTGATGATAATTTGCATATCTGCTTAAATAATTTTATACCTTTAAAATATCCCTGCTTCCCTCCCCTGCCTCACCATCCCCTCACCCCCTCCTTCTTTCCCTCGTTCCTTCCCTCCTCCCCTCCCTCAGTCCCCCTCTCCTTCCCTCTCCAACTTAATAGAGGATTTCCATTAGCTTTCTGTAATCTTACTTGTGGACTTTATGATTGTGTTCAATTTATTTCTGCTCCCTATTGTCATGTTTCTTCAAATTTTCTACGTTTTTAATATCATAAATCTTGCAAAAACAAGGTATGTGGTGTAGCATAGCGGCTAACACGAGAGACTCATTCTATGACACATTTCTCTAAGCCTCAGTTTTGCATCTGTAAAGTGTATGTAAAAATATCTTTTTGCAGAGTTGTAAAACTTAAAGGGAATGCACATCAAAAGCAACTAGACCAGAGCCTGGCTCATAATAAAAACTCAGTAAACATTCTCTTCAACCATTGGCCTGCACATAGAAAACAATCAAGTTTTGCTGGCTGTTACTATTTAATGCTTTGCTATTTATTGCTATTTAGGCTGCAGGCTGGGCTCATCATCTAAAATGGCTATATTTGATCATCACAGTGGAAAATTTCTTCCTTGGTTAGCAAGTGGAGTAGAAGAGGCTCATGTACTAGAATTAGACAGATCTCAGCATGAATTCCAGATTTCCCAAGTACCAGCTATGTGGGTTTGTCCTTTCTGGACCACACTTACAATAATGAACATCACTACCTTGAAGAGTTATAGAAAGCATAGTCATAAACATCTAGCACAGTTCCAGGCATACAGTGGTTCAACAAATGTTTTGGAAGGAAATATTAGATGATCTGAGCTTCAAGCTCATTCCTTTAAATTAAATACGTTTCTTAATCTCTGTAAGCCTCTTCCCTCAACAGTGAAGAGAGGATTGAGCTATATGATTTCCAGGTGTTCTTCCAGCTCCAATGATTTGGGTCTCTTGCACGACTATCTATCCATTCATATCCCCACTTACCTGTGAGAACCCTCTGGTCACAGGCAGTTCCTCTCCATCCAGGACGGCAAGTCCCACAGTTGTGTCCTGAGAAGTTGCCATTGCAGCGACATGTCCTGTTGAAGAAACGTGTGGGCCAGGCCTCTCGATCATCCCGGCCATCATGCGGGTACTGGGGGCTGTGGGGTCGGGAGTCTGCAGTCACTGCCTCACACCTGCCCCTCCCTGAGGAGGAGCCGCAGGGGTCAGTCCCAGGCCCCGACACAGGGGACAGGTCTGGGCAGCACACACCATTTCTCAAAGCCTCAGTGGTGGCACACTCTCTTGGAAACTGAGCCCAAGCCTGCTGAATAAAAAGCAGGGACAAGATGTATCCTAAAGAGAGGAGTTTATGAACTTCCATTCTGCTTGAAGCAAGCCTCTGGTTCTGCAGCCCTTTGTGTAGAGACTGAGGCGCATAGATAAAAATCAAGCTGAAAAGGAGAAGGCAAAATGGAATTATGCAAGGTTGGGAGTTTTTTGTGCTGTTATAAATGGCATGAGCCCTTTCCAACCCACCTTCAAAATGCTTTCCAAATCTGTAAAATGACAATTCAAATAATAAAAATAGTAATTTACCTTTACAAATTTGACATTTATAATACCTACATAATTAACCCCCCTATCTTAATCATTTAGTTTTCTTCACTTTAAATTTCTATTTATAAAAAATAGTTATCCTGGATGTCATTTATCAAAAGCAGTCATTAGCAGGTCACCACCATTAATTACATTTAACCATGGGGCTGAAATAAGAATTGGGAGCAGATTTCCAGCAAGTTAATTTTCATTATTTAAAATCCCCCATCCTAATGGAGTTTTGGCAGGAGTCCACCCACTTCCCATGGAGCTTCTCTCCAGTACCTTAAACTCCTGAGGGGATTCTCTGCTGAGCGTCTCTTAGAGCTGAGTGTTTTATATTTGCTAGTCCCCTGATGTCAGAGCTGTTAATTGCTTGTGGGTTTCTGCCTGATAACTAATCACAGATCTGCTCACCCAAAGGGGGCGGGGCGGGTGCTCTCCTCCACCCCTTACTAATCCTCTTTCACTTCAGTGAGTTTTTCTGCCCTTTAAGTGCTTGGTTAGCACATGATTCACTCCCCACTGATTGCCTTGTGATGCTTGAAAGGCCACAGGCACTAATTTGGAAAACTGTAAGTCAGAGAAACTAGAGAGCTCTTGTTTCCATCGCAGAGATTGTAATTCTGACGGATAGGTATTTGGAGGGTAAAGTCAGAATACTTACCCTTTCTCAGTGTTACAAGGTTAGGTGAGGGCTCGTGCCTGTACTTTATGGTAGCTTTTGAGTGTTTCGTCTTGAAAAAAGATGCTGCCATTCTTACAATTTCTGGAGAGAATAATTGTTGTAGAAAAGGCATCAGATGCAATGACACCAAGTCACATGACTTTGGCTCTCCTGGTGCCTACTGGTGTTGACAGTTGGATACCCCAGCTCCCTTTACCTGCACTGTGGTGGTGTCCGTCTCTGTGTCAAAGCACCACAGGCTCACGGCTGTTTCTGTGGTTTAGAAGATGACTGCTAATGGCTTCTTGCCTACATTTTCTTCAAGCAGTCTCAAGCCAGTGGCACTAATTTTAAATTATTTAAAATGCCTTGATAATTTTAATGGCCTTATAGAATCATTAACCAATATCTTAAAGTTTCATATCTACTCAGGGTAAAATTAATTGTAAAAAATAATTCTTATAAAATGACATTTACATAGTCTTTTTGGTTGTTTTGGTTTTTTTTTTAGTCTGACTTCTTGCTGGATCGAAGTAGATCATCATTTTTCTCTCTTGAATAATTTTAGCAGCAATGTACTAAGGTTGGTTTCTTAGTTTTGACAAAGGTACTAAAATCATGTACGTTAACATTGGGAAGTGGGTGAAGAGTGTGTGGAAACTGTATTATCTGTGTAACTTTCCTGTATATCTAAAATTATCCCCAAATTAAATGTTTATAGTAAAAAGCTGTTTTCAAAATTAGGTAAACTATCTATATACATTTATGTGTGTAGACATAAGTAAACTACAATGCGTCATATTATGATGAAACCAGAACATAAACAAAAAGAAAAGTGAGCCTTTGCCCATCACACCTCTTTGTTTCCCACAGCTACCCCAGGACAGTGTGATGCATAAATGACTGATGGGGCATGCATCAATATCAAATCACATCATATTAACTAAGTATAAGAATAAATATGAAATTATGGTCTGATATTTTCTTTCTGGACCCAAATGGATTTGTGTGCCCTCTAGGGGACTGTGGAAAGACCACGTTGGATGTCATTCCTAAGAATGATCTTATTCAGTCACATGGAATTCTTTGTGAGCTGGCGAATCCCATTAATAATGCTAGTAACAGTCTTTCCCTAAGGATCTGACTTATGTATCTTACTTCCTATTACTAAGTCCACTTTGATAACTAGTTGGTCAGTTATAAAACATGTTCCTCAGTCTTTTCCATCTCAGTGAATGAAATTACTGTTTATCCCATTGCTTAGGGAAAAGATACACCCTCCTGCAAAAGCCACATATTCCTCTTTGTCTCACACAGACTGCATTCATCAGTTGGTCTGACAGTCTAGCTTTGAGCATCGCTGTCTCTCACCTGGCCTGTGACAACCTGGTTCATCTCCTCACTTCCCTTGCTTGACCACACAGGGGTTTATCCCCAAAACAAGATGCTATTCTCCATTCAGCAGCCTGAGAGAGATTTTGATCACTGATACCTGGGTATCACTGCTCTCAGCAAGACCCTCCAATTGTTTCTGAACACACCTAGAATAAATCCAAGTGCTCATAGAAGCCTACGTAACCCGGCCCCTCCCATCTCTGACAGCCTCCTACCATCCTCCCACTGTCCTCCCCGCTACTCCTTGGTTTAATAGCAAGCGTATTACAGCCTCTGTGCCTTACTTATATTTACTGTACCCTTATATTTACTGTTTTATGACTTATTCTATCACTTCATTCAGGTCTCTGTTCCAATGTTACCTCTTCAGAGAGGCCTTGCCTAATTGCCCCACCCAAAATAGACCTCTCCATCCCTAATATCATCAGTTCATTACTTTCTTTTTAAGACTCAGTCTTTTTCATAATACTAAACACTGCCTGAAATTTTTATTACTTATTCATTTTTCACTTCCTTATTGTTTGTCTCACTTATCAGAAGAAAAACTTTTGTCATTTTTTTTCAGAACTGACCTAAGCTATCTCTAGAGAGCCACATAGCTATTTTTTAAATTTAGCTAGGTGTAGACACCTGATTTATAATTTATTCCCAGTCTAATGGTAATCAGTACTCTCAGGGAAGGGAATAGATGTAAACTACCTCCAGTATTTTCATTAGCTACTATTAATGAGCATCTATTATTCCTCTAAATACTATACATACATTAACTATCATTCTTTCCAAATATTATTAAAACATTAGTTTTATTCCTATTTTTCAGATGAGAAAACAGAGGTTTATGGAGTTTAAAACCTTTTTAAAATCATGCAGTTTATAATTAGAAATTTCAGGTTTTGAAGCCAACTTACTTTGTTCCAGAATGTTTGTGGTTTGCAAGTACTGCTCACATTCTAAAAGAAGAAGGCTGGGGAATGGAGAGACGACTGTATTTTAAGTCACGAAATACACCAGCTTTGACTCAGTGAGCAACTGCCTTTGTTTCTTGAGTCTCAGCTCCTCATCTGAATAATTAATTATTACTAGTTAACAATAGCAAATGCTCAATGAATAATACAGCTGAATTGCATAAATTATCTTAGTGTTAAAGCATTATTAAACCAAAGAAATAGCTTTGAAGACATAGGGAGCTATGCGCAGAAAGAGTACTTAACAGAGTTAAGAATTGTGCTGTTCAGAAAAACACACAGCAGCATACAAAGACTTATTAGTAAACACCATTAGTTTGTGTCATATATTTATAACTGATATGAATGAAGATTATATCTCAGGAAGAGGGACTGATCCTCCCTCCCTGTATTTTCCTTTGAAGTCTTGTGATTTTTATTTATGAAAGAAGCAAGAAAAAAATCTAATGATAAAAGACCAGGAATTTAGGTTAAGTTGAGGAGAAAAAGTTTCAGGAGCATCCTTTTTCTAGAAAAATTATTAATACATATTAATATCTGTAGTGATATTTGTGGCAAATGATACTGAATATATTCATTGTACATTTGGAGTACATGTTATTCAATTATATGCTTAGTTGTTCTAAGCTTAGATTAATGGTTAGAATTCCAAAGGCATTAAGGCAACTCAGAGTCATCTGTTAGGCCAGTCATGTGTTTATACCTCATGGAGAAGCTTAAATTCAGTGAAAGCAAAGGGGAAGAATGTTAGACATGTGCTTTTGTGTCACTGAGTAGAGATTCTTACAAGTAGTTTTGATATGTTTAGAAGGGTTATCATCCCTCCCTTTAGTTTTGATATGTTTAGAAGGGTTATCATCCCTCCCTTTTCTCCCTTTCTAGACACACACACACACCCCCACACACACACACACCCCACCCCCC